TATACATATATGTACTATGTATGAACAACTGAGATAACTTGTTAGCATACTCCTATTCTTCTGGATATATATATATATATATATAGTATATTAGCTATTTCAATAATTGGCTATCATATATGTACATGTATGCACTACTGAGATAACGTGTTAGCATACTCCATTCTTCTGGGATGCTTTTCCATAACTAACTTAAATACAGTTTCATTGTTGATAGCAGAGTCATAATGATTGTGTATTAAAGCTAGAGCATTCAGTTTATACATTAGTCGGTGTGGACTTTGACGAGAAAGAGACAATTATTTAAAGCTCTGGATACAACTGTGATAACCAACAGTGTAACGAACATTTGTATATACGTTTGACTTGTATTAATATATTATTTCAAAACAATTGGACTGTGTTACTGTTTGTTTATTGCTGAAATTTATCGTCAACAAGTCACAGACACTTACTGTAAAAAATCCGGGGTAAAAAACCTGACAGGAGCAATACAGCTTATAGCTACCAATTACAAATTGTCAACAGAAGCTATTGCATGAGACTATTTAAAGCACAAAAAAAATGCTAATGCTTCATCATAAAAAATGTAGACTATGTAGAAAACGTTAAATACCATAAGCAGCTGTGCTATAACTACATAAGCTTAATTGTTTTACATGCATACGTGCGTGTAGTAGCTTATCCTTGATTGAACAACCATGAAAATCTTTGATTTGAATTACATAGTAGCTTATCCTTGATTGAACAACCTTGAATATCTTTGATTTGAATTACATAGTAGCTTATCCTTGATTGAACAACCTTGAATATCTTTGATTTGAATTACATAGTAGCTTATCCTTGATTGAACAACCTTGAATATCTTTGATTTGAATTACATAGTAGCTTATCCTTGATTGAACAACCTTGAATATCTTTGATTTGAATTACATCTCAAAACAGACAAGCATTTCTCATTCGTTTTTAAAACTAACGACTTTCCTAATACGAGCCCCCCAGTGGCACAGCGGTATGTCTGCGGACTTACAACGCTAGAATCCGGGTTTCGATACCCGTGGTGGGCAGAGCACACATAGCCCATTGTGTAGCTTTGTGCTTAATTACAAACAAACAAACAGTCCTAATACGACAAATGTTTCAATCTTGGCAGAACTTAAATGTAGAACTAAAAATTAACCAAGTAATTAATATGGCTCATCTCATATTCCATTCTAACTAGAAGTATGTAAATACATAAAACTGAAATATACATATAAACAGTCTTATAGTGAATGAAATGCATTGATTCATCAGTTGGGTGTAGGCGATATTTTCAATCGTAATTTCAATAATCTGTCAGTCTGTGAGGTTTAAGTTAGTCCTAAATCCATAGACAAAGTAAAATAATAATAACAAATAAATGGTAAAAATAGATATAATAATAAATTTATAAGTTAAAGATATTAATTTATATTGTTAATAAAATTAACATTAAATCAAAAATAGAACTTGGAAAACACAAAAAAAACTAGTGTTTACTGTCACCGATTCCCTGTCCCTTGATAATTTAAAAAGTTTGTTGAATTTCTCACAAAACTACACGAGGGATACTTGCGATACATTTCCCTAATTTTGAAATGACAGACTAGAGGCAAGGAAGCTAATCAACACCACTCACCGCCAACTCCTAGGCTACTCTTTACGAACGAATAGTAAAAATGACCGTCGAATTTTAAAACCAATGCGACTGAAAAGGCATATTCGGCGACGGGTTTCGATCTGACGACATGTAGATTGCGAGTCGATCCCTCTAACCACCAGGCTCTTAAATGAGAAAATATGAAAAACTAAGTTCAACAGTTTTAAGAATTGGGTCTAGCAATCCCTGAACATTTTATATATACAAGTTCACCTTACCTATCAAAACTATCTCTATGTTAGCATACATCTAATGGTTTAAACTTACCAGCTACAATATTTTTTATTCGGCATTAAAGGGTGCTTCGCAAATACTTGGTTATCAAAAAATTGTCAATAAAGTATTTAAAAAAACAAACATGAAAGTAAAAAATAGTGTTCTTATATTGGAATCTATTTTTTTTTTCTTCAGCTAAATAAACCTCACGTTGACTGCCTGTTTGTTTGAAGTCAGAGTGACGAAAGAAGATCAGATTACATGACTAACAAGTGGACATTATTGAATATGCGACATTAATGTAATTTATAATGACGTGATAATGATTTATAATTAACTTGGTTACTTCCCAGCTTTGAGATAAGTTACGTCATCTGCAAGTGTAAAAAATATACTTTAACAGTTTTACATGTGATTTCTTATAACAAACATTAATTATAAATACTTGAATTTTGTGAAGTTCATTACTTTGATGAAAGTGTAGACATCTATTTTAATTTTAATCAAGTTATATTATGTAGCATGATGATCGTTTGTTGTGGCCTTGACAACAGGATAACTTGATTATGTGAAGTCCATTTACTTTCATTGTATCTAACTTGTTGCAGACTTAATTTGATTATTGTCGTTAATTCGTTAGTTTTTGTCTTTGAGCGGGAGATCTGCTCTGTAAAACAGGAGATTAGAGAAAATCTGACTGTAGTGATCTCCAGTAAAATAAAACAAAAGTCTATTTAAATATGGTGTCTACTGATGAATACATACAATATATTTCTATGAATAGTAAATAAACGAATGTTAAAGATCAAACTGAAATATCAACATAAAACAAAGATATGCATAACTATAGCTGACGTGTAGGTAACGCCACCTAACTGATTACCAAAACTGACAGAATTACGGGAAAACAGACTGGCGAGTACCACTTCCCAGAACGATCAGCATCAGGTTTCCTGGTTTAAGCTGAGATACGAGTAACAGTTTTGGACTGGTTCTCAACAAGAACGGAAACCAATTTTAAGTTATAACATATTATATAGATCCTATTTACTTACCTTTCTATATGTAAACTTTAAGACAAATTTATTTCTAATTTTCAATAATTGTATATGCATCGATGCAGAAACAAAAAGTTCATGTGTGACAGCTTTTCTTAGAGACTGGCTTTCATTTTAATGGCATTCAGCCACTAAAATGTTTTCAGGAAGTTTATAAAACAGCTATAAAAGTTATAGCTTATAACTCAGATGAGGTTAAAGAGTGAACACAAAAGATACATGGCTGATGAAAGACACCATATTCTTGGGGTTCGATATTAGAAGAGAGGGGTAAAAATAAGACAATGACGTTCTCAAGTGAAGAGCCCACCATTAAAATCGCTACCACTCCTAGCTTCTCAAAATAAAAACAACTTGTGTTGGAGCCTCCTTTTCCACTGTCCGAAATAAAATGATTTTTTCCCCCAAAGAGTAAGGTGAAAAGAAATGATTATTTCTGAGCACCTCCTGTTGTTTTCTTTTCGAAATTTTATTATTTACGAATCTTTTTTTTTTCGGATTTAAAATTTTGGGAAAAATTTTAAACCGAAATGACTATCATGTTTGATTGATTGTTAGAGCAAAGACACGTTGGGCTATCTGCTGTGTCCAGCGCAAAGAATCGAGCGCTGGATCTTAGCTAGGATCTTGAAGGCAGCTAGTCATCACCACCCACTCTTGGGCTACTCTTTTACTAACGAATAGTGTGATTGACCGTTACATAATAACGCCCCCACGGCTGAAAGGGCGAGCATGTCTGGTGGGATGCGGATTCGAACCCGCGACCCTCAGATTACGAGTCGAGCGCCCTAGCCACCTCGCCATGCCGGGCCCCGGCAAATAGCACTAAAACGTGTTTCCCATGTAATTGTGAAGCCAATGGTAATATAGAATTTATGTTGTTTTGTTTCAGAAGCTTGTCGCAAAACTACACAAATACTTATCTGTGCATAGCCGTGTCTATTCCGAGAGAAAGTATTCACTGCTTAGAGGCTTAATTTCAAATTTATGGTTGGTCTTGTGGCATTACACGACCTGTGGTGTGAGATGAAACTCTTCAGCACGTATATTACGAGCTATTCTGCAACAACAAAAAAAGTTAGTACAGGACTGAAGAAGATAATAGGAGTAAGCCTAAACCTGTATCCGGACCGTTATACTAGATGATACTGACAGTTCAAACCGTGAGAACACCTAAACCTGTATACGGACCGTTATACTAGATGATACTGACAGTTCAAACCATGAAAACACCTAAACCTGTATACGAACCGTTATACTAGAAGATACTGACAGTTAAAACCGTGAGAACACCTAAACCTGTATACGGACTGTTATACTAGAAGATACTGACAGTTCAAACTGCGAGAACACCTAAACCTCTATACGGACCGTTATACTAGAAAATACTGACAGTTCAAACCGTGAGAACACCTAAACCTGTATACAGACCATTATACTAGAAGATACTGACAGTTCAAACCATGAAAACACCTAAACCTGTATACGAACCGTTATACTAGAAGATACTGACAGTTAAAACCGTGAGAACACCTAAACCTGTATACGGACTGTTATACTAGAAAATACTGACAGTTCAAACTGCGAGAACACCTAAACCTCTATACGGACCATTATACTAGAAGATACTGACAGTTAAAACCGTGAGAACACCTAAACCTGTATACGGACTGTTATACTAGAAAATACTGACAGTTCAAACTGCGAGAACACCTAAACCTCTATACGGACCATTATACTAGAAGATACTGA